TGCCGAAATGAGAAGAATGCTGATTGAAAAAATAGCGACACATATCGCAGATTTTTCACCAAAGTTAAGAAGTCATACTATGGCCAGATATCAATATATCGCTATACCTGCTATAAGATATCCGCAATTGGAAAAAGAATTATTCTGTCAAATATTCTATCTAAGACACCTTTGTGATACTGTAAGATTTCCACAATGGCCTATTCCTGAACCGGTAAGACAACAAATAATGATTATATGATATTTATTCATTAAGTCTTAAAACATGTTTAATATAGTAATATACAATATTTAGGTACATTTGTTGAAAGATGTATTAGATGCCTGGAAGAAAGAAGTAGAGAAGAAACCACCACTGATGACAGTAGATGAAGCTTATAAAGTTCTTCAGTTGACCAGTGGAAAACAACATAATGAGGCTGAAGTCAGAAAATCATATTATAAACTTGCACAAATGTATCATCCTGATAAGAATCCAAATGGCCGAGTAAGTTGAATATAAGTTTATAATATACGAACATACTAAATTCTTCATGGAAATGTTTTCTATTTATAGGACAAATTTGAGGCTGTCAATCAGGCATACGAATTTTTGTGTAGCCGAAGTTGTTGGTCAACTGATGGTCCAAATCCTGATAACATAGTGCTTATTTTGAGGACACAAAGCATTCTTTTCCATAGATATTCCGATGAACTAAAACCTTACAAATACGCGGGTTATCCCCAATTAATCAAAACAATCAAATTAGAGACAGATGACGAACAATTATTCTCAAAATCCGCACCGTTATTGGCTGCTGCTAGCGAACTTGCATATCATACAGTACACTGTTCTGCATTGAATGCAGAGGAGCTTCGCAGGGAAGGCGGGTTAGATGTATTATTAGAGGCTTACACACGATGTGTTTCTGTTTTAAATAAGTCAAGTAAATCTACTGATATAGCAGTGCAAGTGTCCATGCATATTACAAGATGTTTCTCAGTTGCTGGGTCATTTAGAGGCTGCAAAGATAGAATTATTGAACTACCACAACTAGTTAAAGATCTTTGTAGAATATTATATTTCAAGGTTAGTACGTGCAAGATGTAATATTTTGTATCATGATGCATTTTAATTGTATATATTTACAGCATTTAACGAAGTTATGTTCGGTGGCCACAGAATGTGTTTCTTCTCTTGCCACAGACAGTGTATTACAAATGCAGTTGCTACAATCTGGAGCTTTATGGCATTTATTGTTATTTATGTTTAATTATGATTATACATTGGAAGAAGGTGGCGTTGAAAGAAATCAAGATGAAAATCGGCAGGAAGTGGCGAATAATTTAGCGAAATTAGCAGTTCGAGCATGTGCCAGATTAGGTGGTTACATGACAGGAGAAGATGAAACACCTGTCAATCCTGTTACTGTTGCCGCTTTAGAAAGTTTATTAACACCTTATCTAGCCAGGCAACTTGCAAAAGACAAACCTGAAGAAATATTAAAAATTTTGAATTCGAATTGCTCTAATCCATATTTAATTTGGGATAATGGAACAAGAGCAGAATTGAACGAATACTTAGAAGCTAAACGACAAGAAAGATTAAACGGCAATGATAGTTTTGAACACGATTTTAGTGACTTTAAATATAGCGTTCATGTTGGCGAACTTATTATTGGAGAAATATATGTAAAAATATACAATGAACAACCCAATTTTCCTATAGAGGTAATTTAATACTTCATAATATTTACTTAATAAAAGAAAATATTAGTTACTAAAAAATTTAAATAAATATTTTTCAGAATCCCAAAAGTTTTACAATTAATTTACTTGACTTTTTGTCAGAATCATCAAAACATTTAGCATCTGTAAGCAATATGGCATTAGTTAAGAAAGATCAACAGAAGTTAGAATATATTGTTATATCTTTAGAAGCATTAAGAAATGTGATTAAAAATAACCCAGGAATTGAATTACAATGCATAGGACATTTCAGATTATTATTTGGACTTTTAAGCTGCAATAATTTCAAGTTAATTCAAAAAAATGCGCTTGAAGTTATTAGTAATGTCACAAAGAATCAAGAATGCGTGGATGATATTGCGGCAAATGAAGTTATAGTACATTTATTATTAGCTTTAAATACTTTGAAGGAACATCAATTGCTTATATTGGAAACTTTGTATGCTCTAATGAGCTCCACAAAGATCGTAAAAGATGCATTGTCTAAAGGTAAAAATAAGCACAAACACATTTTATATACACCTTTCTTTTCAGTTATTGTTTTGAAATGAAATTTATGAAAATTTCAGGAGCCGTTGTATATGTTCTTGATCTGTTTTGTAATTCAAGTAATACTCAAATACGCGAAGCAGCCGCAGAACTACTTGGCAAAATGTCATCTGATAAATTAGCTGGCCCAAAGGTGAAGCTGGATTTGTCTAAATTTTTGCCACGATTATTTAGTGAAGCTATTCGAGATGCTCCGAAACAGTGTGTGCATATGTTTGAAACAAAACACGAGAATCCTGAATTAATCTGGGATGACAACGCCAAAGCTAGAGTATCGAGAATTGTTGGAGAATTAAAAGACGAGTATATAAACATTTTTTTAAGTGTTAATCTTTCTCTTTTTAAATTACGTTAATTCATAACAAAATAATTTTTTTCAGGTATTATATGTTACAAAGAAGAAATTGCAATGCATTATTAAAGTTACCTGATACTCAAAGTAATATTGATATCGCAACGAACGAACCGGCAGTTGGAGGTGTGTATCTTAGATTATTTATCGCCAGTCCTGCGTGGGCTCTTAGGAAACCTAAGGAATTTTTAAGTGAACTTATGGATACAACGTTAGCGCTTATGTCCAAGGAAAAAACTGATGTAAGCATACACACTGATATGTTGTATATAGAATTATATTGATTAATTTGTTAATACTTTTAAATAGCCGGATATGTTGGAATTAACTACACAAGCACTAGTATGTTTACTTCAAGCACAACCATGTTTAGCAGATCAAGTTCCATCATTAGGACATATACCAAGACTTTGTCGACAAATGGCATTGCAAAATAATCAACCATCCGTATATAAAACTGCAATATTAATACTTCATCAATTAGCGACAAGTGAAGTGAGTTCGTTAATTTTTCTTCTACATGAAGTATTGATTAATATTTGTTACCAATAACATTAAACATTGGTTTTATTTTTCAGATTTGTATATCATCTATTTGTCAAACAGAATGTATTAGTCCATTGAAACATGCTATGCAATCTAGGCGAGATATGATAGCAGTAGCGTGTGAAACGTTAAATAGGCTATTTTCAACTAACGAGGATAGACTTATAAAACAGGTTAATAGTACTTCCAGTATAATTATTAATACTATTATAAATTGAAAAACTGTTATATCTAATTGTTCTGAACAGGCACTGGATGCTGAATTGGTACCTTATCTGTTAAATATATTAGAGGGACGATTGGATGTGGTTGAAAATCCTGCAACTACTAAAGCTCAAATAGTCAAAGCTTTAAAAGCGATGACCAGAAGTTTGTTGTTGGGTGAGAAAGTAAATGCAATACTGGAAAAATCAAGTGTTTGGGCGGAATACAAAGATCAGCGGCACGATCTATTCATTTCTAATGCAACTAATTCTGGTTACCTTACTGGTAAGATGTACATACTTATTACTTTTCGTTTTTGTATTAATATATTTAAGTATAAATTATAACATATAGCTGGAACACCGGTATCGGCTGGTTATTTAACGGCTGGCCCCAGTACCACTTTAACAACTGCTCCACCTCCAGTCGACAAAGAAGATAGCTTAATTAATAGAAATGATAGTATCTGATATAGGTAGCATTGTAATTAAAGAAAAAAGTAATAAGCAGTAAGAATGCCTCTTCTGGAAATTCCTATCGGTGAATCAGTACCGATGTAAAGACTACATTGCCTGTGATTTTTGGCTCCTTATGATAAGGAATTTATCAATCGAATAATGTTTTTGTTGAATTTACATTTATATTAAGGTTATCACAATACAATATGATACTTTTTATTGTGCTATATAGGCAAATTATATAATTATGTAAGATATGTCATTCTTTACAGAGTCATCAGCGTGTGGCAAAAGATAGTATTCAATGAAAGTCTATTACTAAAGAAATTTTTCTAGGAAATGTCCCTCGAACAAAAATCTCCCTCATCGATTCTAAAGATTTTCTAGACAACGTTTCATTTTATATTTAGCAAATCTTCCGATACAACTTTTCATGTTATAACAAATGAACTTACATTCCTGGCGAATGGAGGAATAATACGTTCAATGTTTAGCGTTGTTGCTGTATCTGAGTGTGATTAGTATTTCTTGAAACGATTTTTAAATACTTATAAATGAATACAGTATACACTTGGTCCAACTGTAACTATTCAGAGTCCCATGTATCAACGAAGTTTTATTATTTCAATTACCATCATCGTTACATAAAAATATTATATTTAATCGCATTTTTCGATATGGCAAAATGCTTTCACTTTCTTTTTTACATTTTATGATATTCATGAGCGGTTAAGTTTGTAATATAAACAGAATCATAAATACGCTGTTTCCTTTCATATTTTAAAGGGTCAAGAGCGTTCTTGTATAAAAATAGTTGATCATCATTTCCTTACGATAATTTTACATCTACTGTTTTTTGAATAAACTTTATAAGAAAACACGATAATTATGAGCGTATATCGAACGCCTATTAAACGAATCAAAAAATATTGAACATGTATTATGTTACAGAAGAATCGGACAGATTTTAAAGCGATATTCATTAATTATTTTCATGTGATGTATATATCCTTTTGCTTTGGAATGTCACACACACACACACGCGCGCGAACACACACACACACACACATATTGTACTTTGTTATATAGCTCGTTTTATGTACGCTTAAGACCGAAAAAAGCGCTAAATCTTCTCGGTGATACTAAACGAGGATCTATCGACTGGAGTAGATTCCATGCGTAGGGAGTTCCTCTTTTTCATATCAATTTCTAGTATTCTAACAAAACGATACTTCAGCGAGTACGGGCAAACATCTGTAGAGTTTAGGAATACGAATCGACAACAAAAAGAGAAACACGATACGCGTTATTCTTTACTTGCCATCCAACAATATTGTAATACATTTTTGCTACTTGAAATCGATGAGTCGAGCGTTCATGGTATCAAACAGATGACAAAACGAAATAGGGAAGGTACGAAAATGGTAAAGATAATAGTTCCTCTCGTAGCATGAATGCATATGTGCCTGACGCACGCAATGTACACATTTCTAAATTTGCAATTCTATAGGAAAGGAAGACAGCCGAGTTCCTTTTAGATTTGAAAAGTTCATTTCCGATATTAACAACATGCGAAACACTTGCGTGATTTTCTCGTCCCTGTACACTCGACTCGTCGATCGATCCTTCTTCTAGAGAAGCGAAAAAGAAGTGAAAACAATTAGTTAGGTAAAAATGAAGTGATGGAAACGTTGATCGCGATGAAATACAAAAATAGTATATAAATTGATTGGTATGTTCTCGCTATACTGTGTGTAATATTGTTACTAACAGTCGAGTAACTATGTGAACATATGTGAGAGAGCCTTAGTTATTTTTATGTATTTTCGCCTGAGTTCTTAAGGTCGAGACTAAGATATTGTATATAAATATATATATATAAATATATGTAAATTAGAAAATAAACGATTTTGCACATGGTACAATTAACGAAAATCGAATGTAAAACAATGCAATCTCTTTTTAATTTAATTGTCGTGTGTGTGAATATTAATTAATGAATAGATCAAAATTTTATTTTTCAGATATATGTTACTGTTCTGGCGCTTCATATAACATCTCGTTCATATTTAAGTACTTGTTGTCGGATTGGTAGGAGAGTAATTTGTCTAAGCTCTCTTTTAATTCTGTAAACACAGGTCTACTCTGAGGTCGTTCATTCCAACAAGAAAACATAATATTGTATCTGTAACAATTAGTCTTATTAATTCATGCGAAAGCTGATCATTTTCTTAATCTTCTTAGACTTTTTACAAGATGTTCCTACTTGTACATTTACAAAGAAACTTAAGATACATATAGAGTAACTTGCTTTTGTATTTCTTCTAAGTATTTCAAACAAAGAAGTCAATTTTAATTTTACGTACAGTTCCACGCTGCAACTCACAGGTTGTTCCATTCTATAACCAGATTTTAAAAGCTTCAGGATTGCACTAGTGGAAATTCCAGGGTATGGAATAGCACCCATGGTTACAATTTCCCATAATAAAATTCCAAAGGACCATCTACGATACAAAGATATATATTACACGAATTAGACATATTTTTGAAATTATCAAATTTTATTAAATTGTAAGTGTAAAAATAAGATACAATTAAAGTAAAAGGTAAATTTGTAATTCTATTTTTGTCCATTGAAAAATGCCTTACACGTCACTATAGGTTGTATACGTTTGATGCGTTATAGCTTCGATTGCCATCCATTTTAAAGGTAATTTACCGCTTCCTGTTTTTTTGTATAAATTTTCTTGATACACATCACGACTCAGACCAAAATCCGAAATTTTCACCTTTCTGTCTGCGCACACTAGTATATTTCGTGCAGCCAAGTCACGATGCACTATTCGATTCGATGATAAAAATTCCTACAAGTTGTTTATTAGTTAGATCAAATTAAATACATCCATTGTTTTGTCACATATAAAACTTATAAATTTCCCTTTAGTATTGGTAAATCGTATAAGAAATAAACATTATAATAAATATCAATTTCTTAAGTAACGAAAGTATTTCTTTCTTGAAAAAAAAAAAAAATATATTCCATTAAGTAGTATAATTAAATTAATTTACCATTCCTGTAGCGATTTGCCTCGCAAAATTTAACAAGTCATTCGCTGTCACAAATTCCGTACTTTGTGATATATCTACAAAAAGAAAAAAATAAATAAAAATAATTGTATCAAAAAAATCGTAAAAAGCAGTAAAAATATTATGTACCTTACATGATTTATAAAATTAGATTAGCACTATAGCGTTGATAAACTTTATGTTATTAATAAAATGAATTAATTAAAATATTTTTGTTATTAAATTATTATAAATAAAAATTTATGCACATTAAAATTTTTCTTCTACAATTGAACTTATTAATTGGAAATAATATATGATATAAGATGTTAAATACCTTGTTCGATATCGTATAGATGATTTTCGATCATTTGTTGAATATTTTCATAATTGTGATGTTTTCCACCTAATTAACATGAGAAATATAAAAATGTATCCAGACAAATATCATTAAGCTGTCATTTTAGATCATTCATGGATGTACAAACGATAAATACCAGCATTCTTCGAAATATACTTTATGCTATTTGCATCGTTTACGTTAAGCTTCAAACGAGTTTTGTGATTAAACGCAACGCTTACCATATTTTGCCAGATCTGAAAATTTATAATATAGTTAGACGGATATACTTTCGATACCATTATCGTAATTGCGTAAAAAGAAAGGATAATAAAATAAGCTTGTAAATTATGCGAATTTATTTCGTTAATATGCTTTAAAATATTTGATGCGATAATACTTATACATAATTTACCGTCTTTAAGTATGTTTGTAAGTCTCCTTTACAACAATATTCTACTACCAACACTGGTTTATCATACAAATGACAACAACCGATTAACGAGACTATGTTTGGATGTTGATTAACGAATTTCATAATCAACATTTCTTTACGAAAATTTTCCAACTCTTCCGTAGTTGCATTGTCTATCACATAAACATTCAAATTTCAAATCATTGTATATGTAATAAACAAATATTATTCTTAAAATATATAATAATTTTTTATAAAAGATATTAGAAAATCATGCAATTAATCGTTTGAATATCTCTTTGTAATAAATTATTATTCGAAATTTCAAATTACGTACTCAAAATGTGCATCATATTAGTCACAATTTGAAATATTACTAAAACTCCGATGAAAATGTTAATTATTTATTTAAAAAATTCGACGATATATTATTGAATTCGTGAAAACACTTTTTCCCTACCTTTAAGCATTTTAACTGCCACATCGATGACATTGTCAAATTTTTCTTGCAAAGAGCCTAGCATTACGATTCCATAAGCTCCACTGCCAAGAACACTCTTGATTGCCAACAATTTTGGGCGAAATTCGTATTGATCGTTTGTCAATGTCAATGAAACAGAGTTGTTAATTTCCGGATCGTAATATTGAGATAAAAGTTTCTTGCTCACTTCGATGGGTAAATCTCTTTGATTAAAATTCTGTGGAACAGGTATTCGGAAGAAAATCTTAATGCGAGTGTAAAATATTTAAAGAATTAACCATTTGCGGTGCAAAGAAGTTCATGGTTGCGCGTGCCAGTACACTTCTGGGTGCAAATCACTTCTGGGGTTCCAGAAGAGAATATAAAGATGCATTGACTGACCATAAAGTGCAAGCAGAAACTTTGTCTCTTTTAACCCTTTCGCTACTACGGGCGACTATAGTCACTCTCCAGAAGATGTCACTGAGGTACTACGGACGACTATAGTCGCTCTCCATAAAATGCCACGTATTGTACTATGCGTTGCATGAGAGAAGTCACATCGTTCGTATGCGGGGCAAGGGGGGTATTCCACTTGCTCCGCCTATACTCTTGTTAGTAAGTACATACGACGAGCACCTGCGATTATTGCACATGAACCATCTCACTCTGGACATCCAGCGTGAGTATTTTGTTTTGCATTATTTGTTTATTACGGACCTCAATACTCGGCAAACCAAATGCCTCTGACAATCGGTCTCGCGCACCGTGCACTGTTTCGTCGCAGCGGCTCCTTCTGCGGGAGTACTGCGGCGGAGAGCCCGCCCGTAGCGAAAGGGTTAAAACGATCTATTTTCATGTAAACTAGATGGAATTAGGGGAAAATGATTCGTCTATAATTTCTTACCTTGAAACGAACACACTTCGTTGAAAATTTGCTTTTCAGTTTGCAGTATGGCAAGCAAATTATCGCAATTAGTGCTACGATTATGATTGCGGATGTAATTGCAATAATAACATTACGGTGGGATACACTTACAATCGCTGTGTAAAAATATTCATATGCAGTTACTTTAATCACAGTTAAATTGCGAATTTAGTTATTTATGTTTAAGTAAATAATTAGACCTACAAATTTTCTTCTATAGAGTTAGTGAACATTCTAAATTCGTGATGTTAGTAGACTATTGTTTTGCGATAGTAAGAAAATGACATTGTCTTCCATGAAATATAGGCCCTATCTAATTTAATTGAATTAATCTAACAACCAACTCTTCTACTGTCAAATGTTTGTTGTATAAATCGAAAAAATAAGACCGGCTCAGTATAGGCAAAAACATGTAGAAATAATTACGTGAAATTAAATAATATTAATACGTTATATTAAGATATGTACTTGTGCGTTCTCTTATAATATTTTTAATAGACTCTGGTATACTTCTTCCGCCCAAAGAATCAGCGACGATGCTTATAATATATTGAGGTCCTAATTTCACTTTTGAAATAAAATCCTCGGTATTATTCTATAAAGTACACAAACTTGTCATTACTATTAAAACAATTGCCAGCAAATTTCTTCGACACCAGCTACTGAATAATAACGTTCAATCAAATCATTTGTTTCTAATTGATATTTTCCAATCTCGTGACCAATGTGTTCATTAAATTCAATGTCACGTTCGTGTTGTGGAACATACATATAACATTTCGAAATGGCTATTATTCATTTTAAACGCGACAAATGAGTAATTTCGCTATTGTATATTTAACTTACGCCAGGTACACTACGAGTGTAAATTTGTTCTCCATCCCCGTGTAAATCAATCATTATGATATAATTATCTGGCTCTGGGGATGACTTGTCCCAAAAAATCCCAAGATCGTATAAATCCTTGTCACGATAGATATGTTCGGTTCGCAATCCTTTTACCATGTCCGGCCCTATAACATACCCAATTTGTACCCAATTTGTACAGTCAGAATTCGTTTAACACGTTGAGTGCCCAGCCCGTTTTGCTTGCCGTTCCGTTCAGGCCCAGAAGCCGTTCAGGCCGTTCCATTCGGTCGTCAAATGGACCACCGGTGGTGGGGGGAAGTGTTCATAAAACTCGGAGATACTGTACCAATTGTTATAACAGGAATTCCAAAACATTAGGTCCAAAGATAGCAAAGAATTTAACACCAAAAGTTAGTACCTTTTGGGCCTAGTTTGGGCCTGAGGACCGGCTAGGCCTGAACGGAAAGTCTAGCGTCGGTCCCTAAGGACTGGCGTGGCACTTGACGTGTTAAAGATAACAAATGCACGTCGAATGAAACTAATTATGCTATTTTTCTTCAATTTATATTGTGGGAATGGTGAGCACAGCGTGTTTAACCGTTTGAGTCCCAGAGGGTTTTGAAAAAGCACTGTCGAGACATTCCAAGCAGCGCGATCGCGCTGGCTCTAACTGGCTACACGACCCAAGCAGCGTGATAGCACTTCTAACACTGTCGAACTATCCCAAGCAGCGCGATCGCGCTGGCTCTAACTGGCTACACGACCCAAGCAGCGCGATAGCACTTCTATTTTATGTTCAGAAATCCCAAGCAGCGCCATAGCGCTTCGTTTATATTGTTACGAGATCATATCCACCCGGTATTCGGCCAAGAAGAGCGGATCGTAACTTCAGTGCAGAACGATCCAGCACCTTCCAGGATGTTCGGTTTAAATAACAATCGGCTATTTACTATTTACGGCTATAAAAGGAACGTCTTCCATCGAAGTTCAGAGAGTGCTGTCAACCTTTTCAGTAGAGAAAATCTATTCTGACGTTTTAGAATTCTTCGGCAATCCAGCGATCGAATTTCAAGAATAAGAATTACACTCGCGATTTGTAACAATATGGCGATGAATGGCCAAGTGGCGTGATAGCGCCTCGACTTCGACAGCCCGGTGACGTACCGTCAGCTGTCGAAAACGCTCGAAATGTACTGTGTTTTCTCCACATGAAATCTGAACAGCGCGATCGCGCTGCTTCGGACTCAAACGGTTGGGGTACAAGGTCACCGCCTGTGACAGTACCTTTTGTTATCTGGAGTGCCTGTGGGGGGACGAGTGACCGCGTGCAAGAATCGTATGAACGGAATACTTATGGCAATATCGAATGCAAACAAAGAGTGAAATGGGTCTGAGTGTTTAGGATACGTGACCCATCGAGGGCAAAGTTGTGAAGAGTGAGTGAGAAACGCGTGATTGAGAAAGAGAGCACGAGGATGCTAGATGACAGAGCGCAAAGGCGTGAAACGGAAGTTCTTTGAGAGATAGCCAGTGTGAAAGTTGAGTTTAGAAGTTAGTTTGCGATAAATTATATTTATTATTTACCACCGTCGTTTTGCTGCCACCCAACAATCCTATAATATTAATTGCACGACATTTGTAATTAATAACAAACTCTCGTATACTCACTGCATATGGTCAAATCGGCATAATATTCCAGACAAGTAGGTGTATCAAATACTATATAATTTATGGCACTGACTTCAGTATCGTATACGTTAACCGATGAAATAGTTACGTTGATATTCTGACCCATTTCTAAATGATGTACATTGAATTGAAATTCCTTCACCTAAGAACCCAACAACATATTCCCGTAACTTAGAAAATTAACGATCTACCATTATTTCACTTTCAATCGATAATTATAATTTAATAAATATCTGAAAATCGAATGTCACGTGGAAAACTGACAAGTATTAATTTGATAATAAATAATACTACCACTTTTCTAAAAAAAAAATTTAAAAATATGTATGTGTAACTGTAATTTAATAAATATCTGAAAATCAAGCGTTACGTGGACAAGTGATAAGCATTAGTTTGATAGTAAATAGCAGTACCACTTTAGTAAAAAAATTAAAAAATATGTTCCCTCCAATCGTGGCTGATACGTAGTAAATACAACTCCGATCTGAAATAGTAATACGTATTTGTGAAATTGAATAAAATTATAGGAATCAGCATTATTTTACCTTCTGCCGGTTCAAAAGCGATTTCTGCACTAAGTTTGCACTCGTTTAATGTATCCGTTTCTATTTCTAACGGCGTTAGATTTTTCACAGGTAATGGCATATAATCGGCTAAAAAAAATTGCAACGATATCAATGTAAATTGTCAAATTGAAGTCAGAATTATTCTGATAGAGAAACAAAGTTTAATAACATTCGATGTGAATAACGATAATCGAGTAAACTAGACGATCTTTAATAAGTATTATAAAATACATATTGCAAAATGATCAATTACCGGCAAATGTTGGGAACCAATCCGACGTTTCCGGCCGTGAAATTCCATTCTCTGTCATGTTATACAAACGGTACCGATACATAGTACCCGCTGTTAAATTCGTAATTATCGCGAAACTTCCCTTGGTCTGCAAAATAAATCTGTTGCATAAAATACGGCGAAGAGTACGAAACACTGGCAATACATATTTTGATATCTTTTTAAAATACTGAAAATAATCTAGAACAAGATATACACGAAAGCAAAGTAAGAACATAAAACAAATACGCCATCACACGAAAGTACTCGAACAGTTGCTTATTTTTCACAGGAGTTGATTAAGCATTAGAAATTTGGAAAGGACAATCTTACTTTTATTATATGGAAGAACATTATAATTTAATATAAGTGATTTTTATTATCCATGGAATAGAAGAAACAATAATTATAGTTAACACTTTGCCGGCCGCTGTCACGCAGACGTGACTTTGGTTCAGCGCGGCACAATGTTCCACTATGCTTCTGTTTTAACTCTTCCAATCGTCTTTTCTCGACATTCTTTAAGCAGATGCTTGTTCCGTTAGTCTCAAATATTAGTGCCTTTTTAAATAATAAGAATAGCGTAAATATGACCATCAGCAACTAGTAGAACCCGCGCGAAATTCACCAGCGGCGAGAAATGAGCGGCCGGTAAAGTGTTAAGTAACATCATTTGAGATGAAATTATTCAGTTTCTTCGTATATTCGTTTCTATCGATAGGAAACGTGGAAATTTATCAGCATTATTATTATTTCTGAGTAAGACAGGAGAATTTGTGCGCGATTATGGTACTTTACATGGTCAAATAAGCTTTTACGTTCTCACTCGTTTGCAACTCGTATTTCTTTTACTTAAAACAAATTCGTAATATGTTAAAATTAAACGTCGTTTACCAAATTCACGAAAGTCCATTCGTATTCGGATATACTTCGCTCGATAATGTACCTTCCAGAATTGAATTTGATCACCATCATATCGTTTTTCGTGCATTGAAGATTTATGTCGGCTTGGGTGTCCTGATTCACCTGCGGATAAACTGTACACACAGCCATTTTCTAACGATTTATCATATTATATTATGTAATATTGCTATACTGTAACGATTGTCTGGTATTACCTCGCGTATCATTACCTCACATGTGAAGCACAATTTTTAAACATTTTTACAAAAATATAATACAGTACAACTATTCTAATAACAATGTACACCGCGAATTTTAATCTGTGATATCCATTAGGCGTTTCCTGTTGGGTTTACTTTCCTGAAAACGAATCCGTAATCGAAGTTGCTCTGTCATTCTCAGATTCCGAAGAATTTGAGCTTTTTTTAATCAAAGGCAGGATTTTTGGCTAAAATGAAGTATTACGTAGAAAGAAAGAGCGTTAGGGGATTGATCGTTATCTTACAAGTTAGGTGAGAGTAGCCCGATCACGACCGCTTTCAAATAATTATTCATAATAGTTATTCAAATAATTATTCGTAATAGTTATGAAAGGTAAAGATAAATTGAATATAGGGTGTGAATGTTACTTTAAGGCAAAAATGTGTAGAAATACCTACAGGAACTTGGAAACTATAAAAACAACAGGAATAATGGAGCTGTGACACATGGATTTGATTGGACCAATAAAACCAATTTCAAAAGGAGATAAAAGGTACATCTTATCTATTAATGATTATTCAAGGATAATTATTGGTCTTGCTCTTATAGAAAAAGGATCAGACAGCTGAGGAAATAAAAATATTGGTAACATTGAAAGAAAATCAATTTGTCAAAAAGTTGAAAAGTACTTATATGCTTAGATAGGTAGGTAGGTTTGTGAGAGATCTCCAGGTTTGTTTAAATAAAAAGGAAATAACACATGATTTGATTCCAGTCAAGATTCCACAGTGCAATGGAGTTGCTGAGAGGAAGAACAAATCCACCATAGAGATGACAAAGGCACTTATGATGGATTGAGATTTGCTAATGTATTTTTGGACAGAAGCAGGAAGTACAGTTGTCCATATAAAAAATTGAACAAAGTTAGCTGACCGTCAAAGAACTCCATATGAGGTTTACCAGGAGAGAAAGCCAAACATGATGTATATGAAAAGCATTGCCTATGGGTTGATTAAAGGGGGTTTATTACACTTATTTAGACCACAAACTTGCAAAGAAATATTTTTAGGATATGTATCAAATATTACATACAGAACATATTGACCAGAAAAGGATCAGGTGAGGAAGGAATGTGGTGTACAATTCAATAAAACAATTAATGGGGCTCAAGTATTGAAGAATGATAACAAGAAAAGACATAGAAATTGTTGGATTTATGGATTAAAACAGGCAGAAAAGTGTTGGGACAAATATCTTACTGATATTTTAATCAAAAAAGGATTACATCGATCAAAGGACAATCCATATTTATTTTGCAAAGTGCAAAATCATAGATTTCTATAATGTATAGTACACTTTGATGGCATAGTTATAATAATAAGTAATCAAGAATATGAAAAAAAGCCATAGAGGCAATAGAACAAAAAATGGATATTGAAATTATTGGGAGAAGCTAGGACAATTTTGGGAATACAAATGGAACAAAACAATGAAAAAAACCATATGCATTTAAAGAACTATGTAGAAAAATTGTTGGAATCCTATGGAATGAGAAAATGCAATACAGTTTTAACCCCAATGGATCTGAATGTCAATACAAATAACCATCGAAACAGCAAAATGTGCAAGATAAACCAATATCAAGAATTATTAGGGAAACTCATATATTTAAATACTTATGTTTGGCCAGACATCTCAATTGCAGTAAGATGTCTGTCATAGTTTAACCATGATCTTAAAATCATGGATATGAATCGATTGAAGGGGATATTAAGATGTTTGACGGTGTATATTGTTTTGAAAAATGAAATGTGTTGTGCGGATATATAGACTGATATGTGAAGTCCTACTGAAAAAGGAGATGAGAAAAATTGTGATGTGTGACAGACTAAATGCGATAAATACAGAAAGTTAAATCTAATTTCTTACATAGAAAAATGTTGTTATATAAGAAATATAGTAAAAACTAAGAACATGCAAATTTGTTATGTGCTAGATAAAAAAATGAATGCTAATTGTCTAACTAAATCACTGAGTGGCTCAAATTTGATAAAGAATGTAGAAAGCTTTATGGAGGTGTTAAGAGAATAAAAAGGAGGGCAGAAAATGTGTGATAGTTATTTATATAATTTTATTGTTTTATTTCTCCCACCTATCACGGTATATGTTAGATGAACTATTTAATCAGTCTTAATTTTAACAATAACATTTTGCGTTTGTCATAAGTATACTTGAAACTGAATGCAAACCAATCGTATTAGCAATGGGAAAAATTTTTATAGCTCTATTATAACCGAGTGGTATATACTTTTTTTGGATAGGTCCGACTACATGGTTTTAAAAAAGTAGTTTTAATCATTTATACATTAGAAACTAGTGTTCTCAAAAAGTATGTTCAATAAAGGTGGATATAATGCTCATGTATAAAATTTTGTAACTAATATATATAAATATATTATATTACTACATATTATATTTTTATTATTAACTTTATAATTATTTTCATTAATTTATAACGTTTCTGCAGTAGAAATTAAGCACATTTTAATTTGCCATTTTCCTAATAGAAACATATGTGAATTTGCATCATTGTTATTAAGAATATATAGCACATGGCTATTTTAAAACTGAAGTATCTTCCCGCGAGAAAAACGCATAGCTTGTCCAATAGCCGTCAACTTCTAGTCGATACCGAATCGAACAAACCGGTAACACGTGGCGGAATATTTTTGCACGTTAAAGTGAAGTTTTCTATGTCGCGACAAAATGTTTCGTGAAATCGCGTTATCACAGAGAGACGTTTTAAATGTTGCAACCAATGAAATATTTATTCATTAACAATAAGGCTCAGTGTTTGTTATTCTTTCGGAATATTGGAATAGTAGGTTACGCTTGCAACATTGTCGGAATATTTACCAATGGACTACAAACAGTAAAAGTTTAAGGAATTGTGACAAATATATCAAAATAAGGATATCTAACTGTGAACATGTGTTTGATGGTACATACCACGTGTGGAAAGAAGTGAAGCTACACAGTGCGAAATATATAACGACCATGTACGAAATGAAGTAGTGTGAGTGCAAACCGAAAAAACGACACACGTGTGGAATAAAGTGGCGTGAGCATGCCGCGTATAATATGATAGCATAGGCACCTATCATCAATTTCAGATTATAGATTTCGATAATCCATAGGGAAATTTGGTCAACATTGCTAGAAATAGGCAGTATTTTAGTGGTTCCTCAATTTTTCTTCAATTTTCACGATTCAATAGCAAAATATTGTAATGGAAATATAAGTGGTCGTCAAAACGGGCTGCGAGGCTCCATATTATCGATTATATAATCTAAATATCGGTCTTAGATAAGGAATAGGCTGTTGTGTAATTAATCTACAAATTTTTCTTCCACTTCAACAATTTCTTCCCCAAACAAAGTGCGGAAAATGTAAGTGCTAGTGAGAGCCAGTTACGCATTTAAATATTCCAGCTTCGCTATCCTAGATTTGCAGCATGGTTTAGAAAATTATGGACCACCATCTTAGAGTCGTATGTTCTCTATCTAATGGACTAATTTTCCTTCAATTTCGACCATTCATTTTCGAAAAATAGTGCCGGAAGTTCGAGTGTGTGTGACAGGCCACTGCGTAGTTTCCGGTCGGGGCTTACTTCAGCGAATTAGGGCTTGGTGATAAGAAATTTTTGACCCAATTTGATAGCGTAGAATCTCCTCTCTCAGAATCAATGGTTTTTTTCCGAATTTTCGTACGCATTTTCGTAAAATAGTGCCGGAAGTTGGAGTGTGTGTGATACGCCACTGCGTAGTTTCCGGTCGGCGTTACCTTAGCGAAATAGCGCTTGGTGATAAGAAATTTTTGACCTAATTTGATAGCGTAGAACCTCCTCTCTCAGAATAAATGTTTCTTTTCCGAATTTTCGTACGCGTTTTCATAAAATAGTGCCGGAAGTGCGGGTGTGTGTGACAGGCCAGTGCGTAGTTTCCTGTCGGGGCTTACTTTAGCGAAATATGGACAGCTGATAAAAAGTCTTTGACCTAATTCGATAGCACAGAATTTTCTGTAATAGAATCAATTGCTTTTCTCCAAATTTTCGCACGCGCTTTCGTCAAATAGTGCCGGAAGTGCGAGTGTGTGTGGCAGGCCATTGCGTAGTTTCCCGTCGGGGCTTACTTTAGCGAAATAGGGCTTGGTGATAAGAAATTTTTGAACTAATTTGATAGCGTAGAACCTCCTCTCTCAGAATCAATGTTTCTTCTCCGAATTTTCTTACGCGTTTTCGTAAAATAGTGCCGGAACTGCGAGTGTGTGTGACAGGCCAGTGCGTAGTTTCGCGTCGGGGCTCACTTTAGCGAAATAGGGTATGGTGATAAGAAATTTTTCACCTAGTTTGATAGCGCAGAATCTCCTCTCTCAGAATCAATGTTCCTTTTCCGAATTTTCGTACGCGTTTTCGTAAAATAGTGCCGGAAGTGCGGGTGTGTGTGACAGG